GTATGTATGTATGTATGTATGTATGTATGTATGTATGTATGTATGTATGTATGTATGTATGTATATATGGGCCGGTTCCTGTAAGAATGCACCTTGTGGAGAGATATGAGAATGAAATCTAGTCGTTGGATCTGATGCATCGTGCGGCTCAGATTGCATCCTGCGTTCAGATTTTGAGATAGTGCATTTTCAAAGGATTATGATGCATTTCGACGTGATGCATTTTCAAACCATTTTGTCGCACTTAATTTTGATGCAATCCTGACCCTTAGATCGCACAATCTAAAGCACCAGATTCATTCTCATTTCTCTCCTAAGATCGCATTCTCACCAGAACCAAAATATATATATATATATATATATATATATATATATATATATATATATATATATATATATATATATATATATGTATGTATATATATGGATTGACTCCAGTGAGATGACACCTTACGGTGAGATGACATGCTTCGGTCAGATGACGCAAAGCTCACCACACTACACTGCAAAGCTCACCAATGCACAAAGCAAAGCAAAGCTCACCTGGAAATAAAGCAAAGCTCACCACTTTGAACCCCAAAACACTTTTTTTTTTAATTTTAAAATTTAAAAATTAATTAAAAATAAAATAACAACACCGGTCAACCACCGGTCAACGGTGGCGGAGCAGCAGCGGCGGCGACCGGCGGCGGCGGCCGGAGATCGGCGACGGGGACCGGCGGCGGCGGCGACTGGCGACCGGTGGCAGGTGGCGGTCAATGCTGGCGGTCAACAGTCAAAGTCCAGTTAGCACCCTTCCTTTGATTTTTTTTTTTTGGAAAAAAATTCAAAGTGTTGAAAAAATGTGGTAAGCTTTGCCTTACACTTTGGTGAGCTTTGTAGTTGTCTGTGGTGAGCTTTGCAGTGACCAGTGGTGAGCTTTGTGTCATCTGACCGAAGCATGTCATCTCACCGTAAGTGTCATCTCACTGGAGTCAATCCCATATATATATATATATATATATATATATATATATATATATATATATATATATATATATATATATATATATATATATATATATATATCCCACTATCCATTTAGGCATTGGTAAATGGAGTATAGGTCAACCCACCCATCTATATTTACACCATCAAAATATATACTTCCTCTGTCCCACTGTCTTTGTCCACTTACCTTTTAGCACACCATCCAATGCACTTCTTTAATCCATTTTATCTTGTAATTTGTATATTAAAAAATAATACAAATTATATATTAATAATCTATATGTTAAGACGAATCAAACAAGATCACACATGACTATTTTTAGGCTTACACATTAAGAGAATTTGATGAGTCAAAGTGCTTAGATGAACAGTTTCAAAAGTCAAAACTGGACAAAGACAATGGGACGGAGTAGTATATATATATAATTAGACAAAGTGAGTTCCCAATGTATATGCCTTCTTTCTTTTTTTTTTTGCAGATTTTTATTAATGATTTTGTGGAATCTCAAGAGAGTGGTCCGACACAGTCTTGAGATGGTGAGATGAATCATACTCCCGTGAAAAGAATGCAATATGAATTGTCTAATGTTGTAGATGGAGACAAGTCTGTCAACGAGATGAGGAGTGTTAAGATTGAAATAACTTAATCTTGATAATTTTTTCATTAGTGGAGTATACTGATTTAAGTGCTGGATTTCATTTCTATGTAGTTTAAGTTTTATTAAGATCTGATGAATAATGGTATACTTTGATAATAAATTATGTTGTTCCTTTTGAATTAATAAAAGCAAGTGTGTTGCTGATTTAAGTGTTGGATTTCATTATTATATACTGATAGAATTTAGGATGGGATATGAACAACTGAATTGGGCAATAAGACACTTGGGTTGAACCACATTTAAAAGATTGAATCCAATCGATTAGTTAGTTCAACTCTAGAGCTTATATACCGATTATTTTACTCTTGGATTTCCGATGTGGGATGTACTCTAACACTCCCCCTCAAGTGGACAACCGGGCCATTTTGAATCTAACCGGTTGACCACTTGCAAATGAACTCCCATTCCCTTGATTTTTTTTTTTGAGCGCCAACACCTAAAGGACCACGAGCCGCTAGGTATGGACTTCCAGACGAGCAATCATGTTAAACAGGCCACAGGCCGTTGGGTACAACATCCATACGGACAACTGGGCTAAAGACTAACGGGCCGCTAGGAATGAACGTCTAGACGGACACCTTGACAAACGAGGTGGACTAAAACTGGCTCTGATACCATGTTGATTTATGAATTCCCTCTTAAAGAATAATTGTGTACAAGGATGTTTATATAGGTGAGGATCCCTACATGGACTAGGATTCACCAAATATGTAAACTAACATAAATACAATTCGGCTATAACTAGACTTCTTTCCATATATGTCTAACATATACTTTAAATTTTATTGAGATTTGATGAATGACAGTATACGTTGATAATAATTAATGTTGTATGGTAGCTTTTGAATTAATTAATTAATAGTGTATTTGGGATTAGCTGTTTGGAAAGAAAACGTTAAGTTCCATTATTTAAGTGTTTGTTTTGCGTGAACTTATACCTGCGTTCAAGGCAGATTTGGGTCATCTGATTTTCTGCACTGCTTAACGCAAGAAGCTCCCCCCTTACCGTGTTCGAGATTGAGAGAAATTTGGCATTGTGGGAAAATCTTCCTATTATTCCCTTAAGAATCTAGCAGTCTCTTCCGTGCCTATTTGCATCTCCTTATAATCATGGTTACGTAGTGAGAAACTACGTTCTATTTGCTCTCACCGCTGAGAGTAGTTCCACGAATTCGCAAGAAAAAAAATTCAATTTATTTTAGTTTTTCTAACATTAATTTAGTATCTTTTTTAATTACTGCTATGCGTCACATTCTATGCCTCTTTGTTCTGTAACTTTATGAAATTTAACCTCTTTGTTAATGTCAAACCTCATTGTTTAGCCACCACTAACTCTTTTTTTTTGCTCTTGCGTATGATGAAGCTATCATGCACTTAGTTTTGATTTCATTTCACCTATTCTTTTATGGCCTTAATATTAATGATAATATTGGTGATAATTAATAGGAGTAATAACAATACTTTGTAATTATTTAATTACTGCATACTGCAATTTTTATTAATGCTCTATACTTTGCTCCTAGCAAAATGGCTGTTTGGAAGGGGCATAGAGACAGTAGAAGTCAACTTTTAATAATTTCATATTTATTACTCTCTCCGTCCACAAATAAACTTTACGTTCACTATTCACAGGGTCAAACTTTATTAACTTTGTTGGCCTATTTTCGTTACCCATTTGATAAAATAATATAGTCATGTCACCTCTAGTTTTGTAGATCTTTTGATATAGTTTTTTAAAATGTCATTTTTATTTTAAAATTTCACACCATTTTTCATATAAAATGATTTAAAAATAACTTCAATCAAACATCGTAACGCGCAATGTAAAGCTTATTTGTTGACGGAGGGAGTAGCTTTTTAAAATGTTCTATTAACAGATTAACGTGATTGGGTCATTCTACCAATGGGACGAAACCCCCCATGAAACTAATTATTGAAATGGCTAGCTTACAATTCCGTAAAATTAAATTAGAGAAGGTTGTTTCTAGGTTTGACCATAAAATAAGAAAAAATATTGTCATATATGATATAAATTTTATATCAATACATTCATTTTAAAAACAATTCACAAATATCATATTTTAATATTATCAAATCATATATAAATAGAGATATTAAGTTATAGTATAAATTTTTATATCAATATGAATTTTAAATATCACTGATTATTTTAGAAGCAGATTTTAAAATTCTATTATTTTAATTATTTCAAAATTTGATATTATAATATTTTCATACTCACAAATATGAACTTTGGTTTTATTTAACCCAAGTGCATAAATTTAAATTTAATATCAATGGATTCGTTTTGAAAAGTAAAAAAAGTTATTGTAACAATAAAAATAACAACAATAATAATGTTAATAATATTAATAATAAGAATAATAATAATAATAACAACAACAACCAAGGTATCTAATAGGGAGGTCTCCTGGGGGAAGGTGTTACGAGATTATTATTATTATTATTATTATTATTATTATTATGGTAAGGAATTATTTATAGTTAGTTAACAATTATTAGGGAATAATACATTTGTTAGGTGATTAATTAGTTTCCTAGTTTATTAGTTATCTTTTATAATTAGGATTCTTAATTATTTAGTTACCATGTATTATTGAGATTCTCTAGAGTTGGAGCCTATAAATGTAGCTATCATCATAGTATTATGAATCAATGAATAAAGAAAATACTTTCTCCTAAACCTTAATCTCTCTCTTTCTCGCCTCTTTTGTTCTTGGAGCTCGAAGGTGCTCGAAATCCTTCCATATCCCGATACGATACCGTATCATTTCTTACCATAATAATAATAATAATAATAATAATAATAATAATAATCTCGTAACAGAAGGTTTGTTAATTTTAGGAGCATCTCTTGGGTACCCTTATCTACCCCTCCAAACATATGTAGGAATTTCCTGTGGGGGTCCAAAGCTAACTATACCAAGATCCCTCTGAGGAGGAGCTTTACCTACCTAAAGTATATGGAGGGCTGGGGTTAAGGAATATGACCCTCTGGAACAGAGCTTTCATACAAAATTACTGGTGGGATGTCAAGAATAAGAAGGAAAACTTATGGGTGAAATGGTGATATGGAGAGCTACAAGTTAAATGGTGATTGCTGTTACTATTGGAAGAAAATAGTGCAAAACAGAAAATGGTTTGTCAATATGTAGGTCACTAAGGAGTATACAACATAGGATGGATACACATGGCTATTGGATAAGGAAACTAAATCATCCTGGACCCCTTTTATATGGAATAAATTTACAGTCCCAAAACACCAATTTCTGCTTTGGCTAATTTGGAAAGGAAGATTGAAGACAAAGGATAGATTAAGCAGGTATGTTGACATGGACCAAGCATGCCCACTGTGCAGAACTTAGGATGAAAATCACAACCACCTCTTCTGTAGATGCCCTTTCACCACCAAACTGATGAGGAAAATATCAGAAGGAATTGGCTTCATAATCAATGGGGGGAGTGTAGAAGATATTAAAAATAGGCTCATGACTCTCAAAGTAAGGGAGGAAAAGGAAGGAAAGCATAAGTGCTTTTGTTGCTACCTGTTACTGGATCTGGAAGACAAGGATCAAAATCAAGGAACAAAATCATTCACTCCCAGCTTAGCTCTGCTGCAAGAGGAAGAAATATATATGCAGATTCGAAAATGTATAGAGGCCTATTGGAGGAAAAAGTGATGAGGAGTTAGCAGTATATAGTAGTTACTAGATTCTATGCTTTGGTAACTAAGGTGATGTAAACAAATGGTCTCTGATGATGATATAATAAAATGTGTATTCTGTTCAAAATAATAATAATAATAATAATAATAATAATAATAATAATAATAACCATCACCAACATCATCGACATCGCCGTCATTTTTTGTGTTAATATTGATTTCTAAATACTTCTACATTCTTGCAAGAATTTATGTAAATACATACCCAAAATTATTTGAAAGAGAAGTATAAAAGGAATCAAGTAATATATTTTTTAAAACATACCAAAAATATTGTATACCTTGAAGTCTTTCAGAAAATTTGGTACTAAAACAAACTTTGTTGTGTACATATTCAATTCCTCAAATATTATTTATTTTAATTTGTCTTTTTTGTCTATGGTATTAAAATTATGTGAGCAATATTTTTTTTATTCCAAAAAAAATATTTTGCATTGAAAAAAAATTCAGAATCAACAAGAATTCATTCAACCCCGTGTGTGGCACAGGTCAAAATACTAGTCTTATATACTCCGGTGTCACCATATTTTAATACTCCGGGCTCCGAGGTAACACGAACACGACTCATGAGGTCATGGTAGAATCTTGGAGAAATAATAAAAATATTCACAAACTAGTCAACTTTCCACGTAGTTAATACCCCTGAGAATTCGAGAAAGACGCATAACTACAATTTTGGACGAATTATTTCTCACATATCTGAACACGTGGCATTACTCACTTGAATGGAGAACATGCGTGAGCAGTGCACAACCCTGTGGTGCTGCTGTAGGGGAACAACGAGGGCGGTCGGACCGGCGGCAGCTCTGGAACCGGTTTGTCACCGTTCAGAAACTCCACCACTTCCTTCATGCTGGGCCGGCCTTTGTTCTCGTTCAACGTACAAAGCAACCCAACATCCATAACCCGGACCGCCTGCTCCCGGTTCACAACGAACCCCATTCGCCGGTCCACCAGTTTTTCCTTTTCGCCTTCCTCGTGCAATGCCCAAGCCAAGCCCAGCAGATCCATTTCCCCCGGGTCGGACTTCCTCGGCCGACCCGACACTATCTCTAGTGCCAGCACGCCGAACTCGAATACGTCCGCCGTCTGGCTCACCGCCGATTCGAACCGAGTCGACTCGACCCCGCTCAGCACGTACCCGAAATCGCCTACCACTGCTCTGAAGCTAACGTCTAGAAATACGCTGCTGGCCTTCACATTCTTGTGGGCTAGTTGCTTCGAGTGCACGAAGCTCAGCGCATCCGCCACGTCTTTCGCCACCTTCAACCGCCGCGTCCACGGCAGAACCCCGCCGCCGAACAGCCACCTGTCGAGGCTTCCGTTCGGGATGTAATCGTACACGACGATTGTTTCTTTCTCGTCGAAACACCACCCTCTGACGGGGACCAAATTGGGGTGCCGGATCTTGCCGGCAGCTTTGATTTCCCGGTGCAATCGCCGCCGTCGATCAGACCCGCCTGACTCGAAGAACTTATCGCAGTACCGCTTCACTGCCACGCCGCATCCGCGCAGCAGAATCGCCTTGTGCGTGACGCTCCTGGAATCACTGCCCAGAATCTGCGCCTGGCTGAAATTCCGGGTTGCCGATGAGATTTCAGTCAAACTGAACCGGCGAGCCTTGTTCGGTGGCGCCAGCCTCTGTTTCTTCTCCGATTTCTTGCCACCTGATTCGTCACCGGTTTTCTTCCCGCCGGCGAAGTAAAGATTGGTCAAAACCGAGACCATAAGAATAAGCACAGCTAAGAAAATCAAGAAACTCGTGGGCGTTCTTTCGTGGGATTTCTCTTCTTCGTCAAACACTGCGTTTCTGCTTCTTTGTTGTAACAATAATTTGTTCTCGCAGGTTTCGGATGATGGAATTCTTAGGGAGGCTTGACTGTTAGAAGTGAAATTCCAAGACATGACGTTGTGGATTTGGGTGTGATTGCCGGTGGAAGCAGAGAAGCCGACGAACATATACTCGTTGAGGTAGGGGGAGAGGTCGAGAGAGCCGGCGTAAACCGGCTTAGAGGGGTACCCGTTGCGGTCTAACCCAAGCCGGATATCGATGAACCGGCGTGGGCCGTCGTAGCTTATCCAGGCTCGGTGAACCGACCCGTCCCGGAGAAAGACGCCGACCTCGGAGGCGTTAACGGCCGTGGCCGAGACGATGCTTCCGAGGTTGATGCCGACATGATTGTCGCTCGGGTCGCCGAACTCCGGGTTCATTCGGGTGTCGAACTCCACCGCAACGGACCGGTAGGCGTCGTCGCAGACGTCGTTGAGCATGCCGAGCCATGGGCCCGCCCTCCCGACGGTGAACTCGTCGGGAACTATGATGAACGTCAAACCATGGCCGCCTTGGGGGATTGTCGGCGAAGATTGGAATTGGAACGAGAACGTGGTGTGGAACGAAGCCGGGGTTCGGCTCGACGGGTCGTAGAGGCGGAAAGGCGCCGAATGGATCGCCCGGCCGGCGAGGTGCTTGAGGTCGGAGGAGGGTTTCGGTATCTGGAGACAAGACCCGTGGCTCGAAACGGTTGCGCTCCCGAGAAGAGTTAGATGTTGGAAGATTCTGGGATTGTTCCGGGTGCTGAAATCCGGGAAGGAGATGCGTTTGGTCACGTTGACCGTCGGTCCACTCTGGGCTCCGCCCGAAACAACGGGATCACCCGGGAACGTTACGAGTACCAAGACGACGAGTAGAGGGAGCATGTTGATGCACTCCATCTATCAATGTTGTTGAGGGAAGAAGGAAGGGAATAATATGAGAAAGGCTATCTTATAAGTTCACAAGCCACCCAAAAAAACAAAATGCCCCACGAAGACTCAAATCAAGCAAGCAAATGTTTTGACAAATTTTGATATCCTCTTATCTCTGGGTGCACATGGCCCTGAAATGCATTATTTTATTTCTTTTGTGTGCTCTCTCACTCATTCACACAAATATGTCTCGCCAATTCTTGTGGAAGATGTCAATCATTGTCATCTATACATTTGACGTCTGTGGTTGTCACTAAGTTCGGCCCCCCACTAAAGTTAATCACGCAACCTAACATTCTAAACACACAAATGTGTAGGCAGTGGACACTACTAAGAGTCTTGTTAAGACTTGGGAGAGATGCATAAAAAAGACAATAAAAAAGAGTGTTGAGGAGCACTTAAGATTTAAGGAAACAAAATTAGTGACTTAGCTTCTTGAGTTGCTGAAGAGGATTCCCAACTTAGCTTCTTGAGTTGTTGAGGATTCCCAATATTATACTCCCTCCGTCCCAAAAAGTCCTTCACGTTCCAAAAAAATCATGTCCCCAAAAGTTCTTCCCATTTTTATTAAAAAACTACTTTTACTTCTTACTTTTTCATATCGTACCTATCACATCATACTTTTTTTCTAATAATCTACATATCACATCAAGGGTATTTTTGGAAAATGAATACAAAATTATCCCTCCCTTATTTTACCACTTTACTCAATATGTCTCTATCTTTATGGGACGGAGGGAGTATTTAAATTTGTTGGTTATCGCACAAATAACACGAGACCTAGAAAAAAATCTTTCTATAAATTTTGTTCTAATTAAACTTTTTAGGATCAATATAATACTGTGATTATTAATATCTATATCTTTTGCCTTTTTCTTCACTAGATTCTAGATTCGTGCACGGCCAATCATTTATTTAAAATATAAAAAAATAAAAATTTAATAAAATAAATGTTTAAATCTAAATTTAAATACAAAGAATAACATAGAAGTATTTGAATTAATTAAAAATAAAAATCAAGCAATTTACTCCATAATATACTATGGAGTGTTATAGTAGTAGACTATTTTGAAAATTATATTATGCATTCCCAATTCTTTATAATCCAGAGAGAAGACCATGTATTGTTGTTTTGATAAGTAAAAATCTAACAAGCATATGATTTGTTCAAAACATAAGTTCATACAATTGTACCAAATATTCCTGCACTCTTGCTTGTCAAATTGGTCTTCTAAAAAATATTTCTCTATATCAAAGTACTTAAGTAAACTAAAAATTAAGGATGGTTAATAAATTTCATTGTTAAGAGGAAAAACTTAGAAAATAATCTCACACTACATAAAATTGATAAAAATCAAGTGAAAAACTTATAGAAAAATCCCAAACCAAATTCATGTCCAAACTATGAAGGATAAATGTTAGGATATAATTAACATGTCCTGTGCCACAACCAAAAGCTTGAGCTTTTGGTTGAATTGGTTCCTTGACATGGTATCAGAACCTTCTTGACTAAGAGATCACGGGTTTGAAACTCAGCGCCACCCAGTTTTAAAAAATTAAGGTTTCACGTGCAAGGCTTAAAAAAAGACTACGCATGCACGTGAGGGGGCGTGTTAGGATGTATAAACATTTCCTGGGCCACAACCAAAAGCTTGAGCTTTTGATTGAATTGGTTTCTTGACAATAAATGATCATTGATCACTCATAAAAAACTTCCATAAAAAGAAAAGAATAAGCAAAAAAGAGAACAAAACAATTGAAATTATACTAAAAAAATCAATTGATATTCCTAATTAAACCAAGCTTATTATTGACTTTTATTTAACAGAAGTAAATAAATTGAAACTCCAACAAAATACATCAAAATGTCTATCTCTACCAACCAAAATTTCTACCAAACTGCTATTAACAGAACACCCCAAAAAGACAACTAAACTACTTTGCTTCCTTCATGATATAACTATTAACATGAAACTCTTTCCCATCTATTGAGGGCATTCTTTTGATGTTTCATGCTTCCTTCTTTGTATCTTTCTTTATGTATTTCCTTCTATACTTCCAAGTGACATAGCAACTGCTAATATAGGCTCCCACAATAGCCATGCATTCTTGAAGAGATGTTGCCACCTAAAATGACCCAAAGAGACACATCCTTGAATGCCTCTTTAGCAAATTGACATAAGTAGAAAAGGTGTTCAATATCATCTGACTAGATGTTTTTCACTTTAAGAAAAAAACAGACAATACGTAACAATAGAACCTTTTTTTGGCAAGTAACATTAGATCCTAAAAAACTAAGAACTTCAAAATTGTTGAAGCAGTAATGAATGGAAAAATAGTGTTTATGACTATAGGAAGAAGCAACTAATATCTAAACTGTAAAGATTACACCAAAATGCTTTTGAGATAGTCTAGATCACCAACTTGATAGGCTAAACTGTTGAGGCTACTTCGACTTCCCAGTTCCCACATGCTGTTGGCTTTCCATATGTCAGATTAAACATGACAAAATGATTAATCGTTGGCCACTCACTCCATCTTTTAGAGCAAAAAAGTGCAAAACATTCCGAACTATGTCTTGTTCGACTAAGGAAACAATAGTAGGAATCCTAGTTTGACAGCATGCCTAGAAGCTCTAATTCTATTGCTACAGTGTGGGATTTTCAATGGCTATTCTAATACGAAGTAATGTTTCAAAAACCGATGCTAGAAGTATACCTGAGATGCAGCTTGGGTTTGACATATCATTATGTTGGAAAGTATGCTCGGCAAATTTCATTTCATGCTTTTATGTTACCGTGGCCCTATCATTTTGTGTGAGAAGTTGGTTAACTGCTTGCTTCATTTTTTGGTGCAATACTATATTGAAAACATTTCAAGTTTTTATTAGTGTAAACTAAATGGAAAATAAATATTTTTTTTAAAATGCATCATTTTAAGAATTTACTTGAACTTCATTAACCATAAGAATTAAGCCAGTGATGTGTATCTCTACAAAAATTGAGTTGAATAAGAATATAATGTCTTTGAATAGAATAAGAATTTCTTTGAACTCCATTAGCATAATATTTTAATATAATGTCTTTGATTAACTATGACTTGGTTCACTAAAGTATATAGTATGCTTTTTCTATTAATTAATATAAACATATTTTCACTAAAAGAGGATATATGAAAATTTCACTTCATCCACAAACACTATCCTGAATCTTCAAGAACATTATTTTACAAATTAAACAGTTTACCATTCAAACCATATACTACGTCCATCAATCTGCGAGAGACCCCTCTTTCCAAATAGATTTTAAAGTTAACAAAAATATGAGAATTACTTTGAGTGCATCAATTCACTATAGACATCTATTCACTATAGACACATAGTAATATCAACATGATAAAAATACAATTATTGATTTGAACTTGCTATCTGAGGGACTATTTCATTTGAACCTTCTTCCTATCTGTAGATCTGAATTTTTTAGAAAAATTAGTATGCAACAAATATGACTTCTTATTCTTAAGAAAAAAGAAGACATTCTTGAAGTTCAGTTTTCTGGATTCACATTAAAGCCAAAGTGAGATACAATCATTCAGAAATCAAAGATATATTCAGCCTCTTTGATCTGCAAACATAACTTGTTGAAATATTAAAATAATAATATTGCTTCTCGAAATAGGGAGTACAAGATAGAGTATATATATAGGAGAGACTCCTTACACAACTAGAAATAGAGAATGGAAACTCACTAAAATACTATATCTACCATAAATAGAAATACAAGGTTCACTAATAATCAAACACTACCATGACTAATACTGCCAGAAGTAATATTGTTATTGTCTAACATCTCCCCTCAAGCTGAACTCTAGCTGAAGCAAAAGAAAATTTGGACACTAGGCTGGAACTGGCAACTTTGAGAAGAGAGAAGTCTGACGTGCGCTGGTGGTTGCTGACTTCGAATAAGAAGAAAAACGTTTGATGTGCGATGTAGTTGCTGACGTCAATGAAGAACAGAGAAGTATGACATGCGCTAGTAGGTGCTAACGTCGAAGAATAAGAGAAAGCTATCGGAGGTGCCTGTTTGATTGAAGATCCTTAACATTTTTTGTCTTTCTTTTGGATCTAGGAAATGCCCTATTTCTTTTTCCCAATTGTAAGAATTTTTATGACTTTCTTGGAGGGATGAGTTAACGAGGTATTCTTTCCTCTTTCTCTATTTCCCCTCTTGGCTTTGGTTTGGATTTGTATTAGTTCTATAGAAGAAAAAAGATAAGAGGGGAGATGGATATTAAGAGTTGGTGATTTGAGAGAGAGAAAAAAGAAGATGAATATAGTTGGGCATAAATTTGAGACAGTGGATATTGATGGTGATGAGCAGCTCTTGTTGGAACAACAATTGTGAACAATTGAGAAAGGAATAAAAAATATGATGGGTGATTATGGCCATCGCCAGAGAAGGAAAAAAATAAAAGATCGGCTGCAGTGGTGGCTAGGGTTTAGGGAAAGGAGGAAGAAATAGTGGTGAGGCTGCCGTCACCGGATAAATTACCAGCGACAGTGGCGGATGCAAAGATTTTTTTTAGGTCACCAATAACTGTGGCTCCGATACCATGATACAATTCGATAATAATTGGTCTTATTTAATATTGAAGAATACATCTTTACAGCCTTTACTTATAGAGATTACATGAGAGAATTCTAATCATAGGAAGAGAAACTATTTCTCATCCGTCAAAACAGTTGCTTCATTTCCCATCCGACAAAACAGTTATTATCCGTACCTGATTAAGTCTGATTAATAAACGAATACAGATTTGGTAATCATACATTCGGTGTTTATCCATGTATCTAATCCATTATTTCCTAATTTAAATTATCTGTTTTGATTTACAATGTTTGACCAAAGTTTTTTTCAAATGATTTTATATGAAAAATAATATAGAATTACTCCCTCTGTTCCATTTTATAACGCCTGTTTCGGTTTACAATGTTTAACTAAAATTATTTTCAAATCATTTTATATGACAAATGGTATATAGTTAAAAAATAAAAATTACATATTAAAATAG